TGTTATCTATGAAGTTGTTGAGGTCAAAGTCACCCTGGACCACATAGGGAGAACTTCTTTAAAAACTGTGTAGGCAGGGCATGGTGGCACAGGCCTTTAGTCCCAGCACTCTGGGAGGTCAGCCTGGTCTACATAATGCATTCCGGTGTATTCCAGAGCTACATAAAAGAGAGACCCTGTCTAAAACCAAACCAACCAACCAGACAAACAAAAAACCACCAACAAATAAGTAAATCGTAAAGAGGAGCTATGTTTGTAGGCTTTCTGAACGCAGTAAGGGAGACAAGGACGAGTGAGGCGAAAGGCAGAGCTGAAGAAAGGAAGTTTTGGTTTGAGTTCCACTTCTAGAATGGTGTGCATTTCCAGGCTCTCCTTCTCGCCAGTCAACGAGAAGCCAGTGCAGCTGGTTGTCCCTCCTTTCCCCTCCTCCAGAATGCCTGGGAGGCAAGGCGGGAGGGCTGCCAAAGGCCTGCTACCTGGAAGTTTCTGATCAGGAGCCCTGCAGGAATACTTGTTGCGTTCCTGGACTGAGACTCAGCCGCCCTCTGCAGAGATCGGTTCCTTGGAAGTGGTACTGTTCTTAATCCTGGAGCAAGCACCGTTGAAGATCGATTCGGGATGGATTAGAGGCTTGCTTTTCTCCATCCACCGGAGAAGGCAAGCCGGAAGGAGAGTGAGCAAGAAGAACTTGTAACAGAGAAGGCATTTGGGGTTAGGAGGAGGGGCATTGGGAAATTAGAGACCTGGAAATAGATTTCTTTAAACCCTACTTTGTCGTCACACAAGTACTCCCCAAGTCATGCCAGTTTGCAGGTCTAGTGAAAGAGCTGAGAGGTGCATGGAGCCAGGGCTGTTTCCCCTGTGTCTCAGGTCCGCAGGCAAGGCATCTTTAACCCCCTCCATTTGCCTCTCCTCCCTTTTCCTCTGTCTGTTTTGATTTTCTCTTTCTTTCTTTCTTTCTTTCTTTTTTTTTTTTTTTTTTAGAAACTGGAACACTTCTTTTGGCACAGTGATTTTTGACCACATCCTCTTCAACTACAACACACCGAAGAAGTGGCATGTCTTGAGGAGAGTTGGCTGATATCTGGGCTTATAACACTCACATGACTGTTGTGCTGTAAATGTATACATTGAAGTATTTTAGAGAGATGGATAAGGCAACTTGCTTTAGAAATATATATATATATATATATATATACACATACATATGCATACATACATGCTGGGTGTAGTGGTACAGTCCCAGAGTCCCAATACTGTGGAGACAGAGGCAAGGAGATCGTAAGTTCCAGGCCAGCCTGGTCTACATAGCAAGTACTTTGGGATGTTTTAAATATGCATCTAAAAGACCCTATTTGTGTGCTTTATCAATAGACAGTGGAGTATTTCAGTGGCTCTGAATTCCCTCTCCTCCCCTTCCTCCCCTCCCATCCTTCCTCTTACCTCTCCTCTCTTCCCTTGTTTTCCTCTACCTGTTCTAGCTTTGTGGGACAAGGTCTCCTGTGGTCTAGGACTCTCTGTGTGGGTGCATTGTTCAGTATCCTTCTGTTTCAGTGAGCGATGGCTTACCTGCTTTTCATTTTTGGACTAATTCAGTTGAGTTGTTGATTATATTTAAGATACAACGGCTGGGGCTACAGCTAGATGGCTTGCCTGACACCTACAAGCCCTGGCCTTGATGACGGATTGCATCTATGGTGTGCAGTTAGCATTACACTCGTGAAAGAGTTATTTTCAAAGCTCATTAATTTAAAGAGCTAATGAAAAGGTCCTCCTGGCACTCAGGAGGCACAGTGATTGCCCCACTCACCTTGTAAAGTTTGCCCTCTTTGCTAACTTGAGCACCCTGGGCCCCGTGGGAGTAATGGATTCAGGAAATGCAGAAATAGAAAGTTGTTCCTTTGTTGGGCGGGTGATGCACTTTGCTGCCCCAAAGTAGCTTTCTATCATTTAAGAGAAACTCTACTGGATAATAAGACATCTCTACATTTTAAATTTTTAATGAGTCAATTATTAATTGGGGCAGAATCTTATACAGAGTTGTGGCTGGCTTGGAACTTGCTACATAAACCAGGCTGGTCTCTAAGTGATCCGCCTGCCTCTGCCTCCGAGTGCTGGAACTAGAGATGAGCTCCATTCATGCCAGCTGGACTTCAGCAGTCTTGGTTTTTCTCAGGTGTTTCCAAGATGAATCCCAGAGAAACTGTGAGCCGCCTCAAGGCGTGCCAGAGGTTGTAGTCTTGGGTCTAACTTTATCAGAAAACCGAAGAATTCTCAAAGCCTCACGAGTGGGTTTTGTTCACACTTTGATTTCCCAGTTAGACCCTGGGTCCCACCCAAGGGTGGTTTTTAAAGCAGTGGACAATATCGTGCACACACCCTTCATGCGCTGGGAAGACTTCTGGACTTCTAGCTCATTTGAATCTCTTACCACTGGTGAGACCCACTTCCACTTTAGATGATTCTAATTTTCATTATGAACCACTCAGAAGCCAGAGACTATCAGGTCTACCTTATATCCTATTTCCTCTTCTCTGGGGAAATATTTGCTGTAATTTTTTTGTTGCCATAGTTAAGCTGTCTCACTTGAGAAGAGTGCAGTCACTTGTTTATTTTGTGGTGTGGGGATCAAACACAGGGTCATTTTTGCACGTTGGGAAAAGTTCTGCTAAGACGCATACCCAACCTGAAAAGAAATTTGTTTTAATGGAGTCTCACTGTGTAACCGTGGCTGGCCGGGAACATGCTGCTCTGGCTGCCTCTGCCTGCCGAGTACTGGATTAAAAGTGCGTGCCTCTGGTCCAGCCTAGACTGTCCCTCCCACATCTTGCTACATTTTTACTCCTTTTCTTTTAGAACAAACCCATAAAAGATACAACAGGAGCACTGATCCCTTGTAGATGGGAAGGTATTTAAATGCTGGTTTTCAGCAGGCAGACCTTGTTTTTAATTTTAATACTAATGACATTTATAGCCTGTTCCAAATGGGGATTTTTGAATAAATGATAGTTTTAGTTTTATGCCTGAGATTATTTTGTTTACAGAATAAGTGACCACAGTTGGCATATAAGTCCCTTATAAAATGATTTAGCACTTGCATATAACGTATGCACATTCCCTGATTTACACAGACAAGGATATGTCTGTCTGGATCTTTATTTCATGAGCTGTCTCTGCGTAGTCCAAGTGAGTCTTGAAATTTTGATCCTCCTGTCTCAGCCTCCAAAGTAGCCGAGCTTCTTGGTGTGAACCACTGCATTCTGAGGAAGTTATTTCCTAACATCTTTCTCAGGCTTTCAAGAGGATGGCTCACCTGCTCATGTATGATTGCTCTCTTTTATTTATTTATTTTTTTATGTGTAAGGGAGTTTTTGCCTGCATCTATGTCTGTGTAGCGTGTGTGTGATGCCTGCAGAGACCAGAAGAGAGCTTCGGATCCCTTGGGACTGGACTTACAGTTAAGAACTGGGATGCGATGCTGGAAACTGAACATGGGTTCTCTGGAAGAGCAGCCGAGCCATCTCTCCAGCCCCTCATGCATGATCTCGTACCATCATGCATCGCCATTTGGGGCCTATGGCTTTCTAAGTCATGCAGGTCTCTTGAATCATTCGCTGAGCCATGATGTGTCAGCAACACCTTCTGAGTATGGGAAACTGTCTTGCTTATGGTGGCATTTATTTATTTTATTTATTTTTTATTTTTATTTATATGGTGGCATTTATAAAGTTTCCCCAAGTGCTTGGAAGTGTAAACTTTATCTTTTGCAATGAACACCTGCAGTTGTTTCCCTCAGAGACAAACTTGCTGGGTGCCACTCAGAAGTCTGAATTGTTCTTTCAAGGAAACACGGCAGTCGGTGTTCAGGGTGCAGCTAGCTCACGTGGACAAGTTCATCTACTCTGTCCCCCCCCAGCTCAGAATAGTGCTTCTTGTGTGCGTACTTTCCATTTGTCACAAAAAAGAGAACCCTGACTCACTGCTTCAGACTGCCTCCTCAGACCTGAGCTCCTGGCTCTGTCTTATAGTCCTCTCTCCTCCCTGCCAATCACGTCCGTCTCCAACTCCCTAGTGCTGGGATTAAAGGCTTGTGAGCCCACGTGCTGGGATCACCTTCGTGTGAGCTGTTTCTCCCAGAGTCGACCTCACGCTGCCCAGGGTGGCCTTGAACTAACAGATCAACGCCTCTGGCGTCCCGGAGATTCAAGGCGCGTGCCACCACTCCCAGGCCTCTAGTGACTTAGCTCTGCACTCTGCCTGCGTAGTCTTGTGTTGTTCCGAAAGTGGTTCTGACCTCTGAGCGGGGACTCCAGGGAGTCCAGAGAGATCTTGCATAGTAATCTTGGTGCCGGGCCTTTTAGTCTTTAGGAACTGGACAGTCAGTGACCTGAGCAATATATCCGAAGAACCCGGAGTGCACCGGGTAGGAAGGACCGTTCAGTATCGCTCTAAGGGTTTCCCGCGCCTTCAGCTAGCTAGTCCTGGGCGCAGCCCATCATAGTTCTTAGCCGCTTCCCAGGCAAGGCTTGGTGCCTTTTCTGATGTCAGAGTTGGACGCAATTTCGATTGTACTTTCGAGCGTTTATTGACTCGTTTTGCATCATGGTTTTTGTTTTGGGAGGGAAGCAATTCTTTTTAATTTACTAGGGGACTTCCCCGAATGGTTGTTTTCTGGGTAATCCGCATGCTGCCCCAAGAGGGAAGTCGCTGTGTAAACACTTGTCTCTGAGTACCAAACTTAAAACTGAAAGCAAAGTTAAAGCAGTATTGCTTGCGGATCTCTGATGTTTCCGACGGCAAGTTCTGCAGTGTCAGCGGCCAGAACCAGAGAGGGCGGAGTTGGGCTGCCGGCTCCCCGCACAACCCCGCGGCTCCTGGACGCCGAGGTCCCAGCCGGAGCGCAGGGGCCTCCGGAGCGCGCGCTTGCACGGCGGGACTGAAGGCTGAGCGGGCCCAGCGCGCTGCCCTTAAAAGGAGGCGGGCCGTACCACCGCCGCGCCTGCGGGAGGGGGGTCCCGGCGAGCTCGGGCACCTCGAGGGTAGCCGAGGGCCGTGCGCTTTGCCCTCGTAGTGCGAGCCAACTGAGAGCGGGGAGCCCGCGGCGGGCGGCGGGGACGCGCCCGGTGGTCTAGAAGTGCCCCGAGAGTGCCCCGGGGCGGTGGGCAGCGCCGGTCCCAGGGCTCGAGCGAGGTGCGGTTCGCCCGGCGGCCCCCGGTGCCCGGATGTCCGTCAGGCTCGGCGCGAGCCGTGGCTCCGGGGGGCGGAGGCGGCGCTGAAGTCGCGGAGCTGAGGACGCAGCGGCCGGGAGCTGAGCGTCCGCGCGCCTCGGGCGTCCGCTGAGCAGTGTCGCGGAGGACTGCGGTCGATGGAGAGCGCGGCGCGGGCGGAGGGGCCCGCGCGAGGGCTCTGATGGACACGGGACGCCGGACTGTGTGAGCCGAGCCATGGCAGCCCGCTCCAGGTGAGGCTGGCGCGGGGGGCTTCCTTCCCGGGCCGGTGAGCGGCCTCGGGGGGCCAGAGCTGGGGCGACGCCGGTGGGGGTGCCGGTGCGGGGACCGCAGGAAGCCGCTGGCTCACTGCTGTCTCATTCCCCGAGTGTCAGGCAGAAAACAGCGCCTGCACCGGGTGCAGAGGGACCGCCCGAAAAGTTAAGGTTAAAGTTAAAGCTCCGGCTTCTGCCCTAAAGTGCTGTTATTTTTCGGCAAGTGAAGTTGGTTTCAGTCGCGGGAGATTGGGTTTTCACCTGTGCACTCTTTGGCTCTTTCCTCGTTGCTCCATTGATGTCTTCAAAGGAAACTTGGAATTACACTTAATGGAAAATAGAATTCGCCCCGGAGAGGGTGGGGGAGGATTTGCCTGGTGAGTAATGAAGATTTTCCTGCTAGAATGTAGGATTCCACATAAAACGGCAGTGCCTGAGTGGATCTGCTGAGTAGGCAGAGGCCGGAATGCGCTCGGTTGGTGAAGGGGAGCGTGGCTAATGATCCGCAGTCGCTGTCAGAGGAGAACTGTGCACCGCAAGGACCCAGAGCCCTGCCTTTCCCAGGGTTTTCAGGTCTCGAAAGGAGCCTTTCAAAACGTGACCGCGCACCCGTGATTGCCTAAGATTCAAACTGTTGAATGCAATTGCATTTCCGTCGTGACGGCAATTGGTGGTCAGGGAAGAGGGGTGGGGGGGTGGGGGGTGTACCATTTTAAAACTTTTTCCAGAAAGCAGTGTGGCTGCAGAGGTTTACAGTTCAGAGGCTCAGTCTTTAGTGTCATACTTGATGAAGGATGGTGACCTGAAGGTGGACATGGAAGCTGAGCTGAACTAATTTTTAGGTCTCAGATCATGGAGAGCAGTAGATGCGTAAAACGTCAGAGATCGGGTAGATATGACTTGAATTTTCCTAAGAGATAAAAAACTTTCTAGGAGGGGACGAACTCTAAATAGAAAACCCCCTGAGTGGTGCCTACTTTAAAAACAAATGTAATCTTCGCCACTCAGCTTACCTCTACCTCCATTTTATTGCATGTTCGAAGGAAAAGGTTCCTAGCTGGGCAAAGGGGTAGGGACAGAAGTCTCAGCTATGAAAACCTTCTGCTAAATGCTAAGTTAAAAATGTTTGTTTGCGTGGAATATGTCCCCAAGCCCCTGCATTCCCAGCCCTGACTGAGCTCATGGCACAAACAGAAAGCATGGATTTCCACAACGGCGTCAAGCCTCTCACAGTTACCGCTCGTTTGAAATTAAGAACTGGGCAGTGGCGGCGCACGCCTTTAATCCCAGCACTCAGGAGGCAGAAGCAGGCGGATCTCTGTGAGTTAGCCAGCCTGATCTACAAAGCGAGTTCCAGGACAGCTGGGGCAACACAGAAAAATCTTGTCTCCAAAAACAACAGGAAAGAAACTAAGAATTGTTTATCTTCTTTGCTATTACTCCATTACTTTGTAGGATACGTTTTGACAAATACTCTCCTACATAATTTGTTTCCTTTGTGTTCTTATGTAACCCATCGTGTAGTAAAAAGCTATCCTAAGTGCCATTATTCTTCAGACTGCCTTAAGAGCCCATGGCACAAAACCTGAGGTGAAGGTACTGCTATCAAATAGTTAGCACTGGCAGAGCAAGGGGCTTTGAACCCAGGTTCCATTGTTCCAATGCCTGAGCCCTTAGACTAACGTCAGACATAAAATGAGATAAAAGATAAATTGGATACTGTGTGTGTATCAGGCTCAGCATTGAGCTGCTGTAATTGGATTACCTCTCTGGTCACCTAAATAGATAAGTTTATTATCTACACTTGGTAGTTAAGGAAACTGAGGCCCAATCAGGGTGTTTGTTGCCCAAGTTCACACAGGTGGAACATGCCTGACCCGAGTTGGCCTGAGTAGCTGCTAGCTACAGTGTAGCACTTCCTGGCTGGCTGTTGCTTCCTTAGCTGTACCTCGCTTGAAGAGTGGGTAATTTTACTTCTGCTAAGATTGCTCTGCTGCAAGATAATCTAAGCTGTCAGTGTTGCTGCTCAGCACATTAGCAAATGAAATAGGAGGTCCTTATATTACTTCTGGTCCATACCTGGCCTGGCCACATGCTCTGGAATCAGAGACAAAAAATGACAAGGGGCCATTGTCTGTTGTTTTCTTAGCCTGCACGCCGAGAGTGGATGCCATATTGTAAATATCTCTTCAGTTACACCATGAATGTAGTCTGTGTGATAGAGTAGATAATCTTTGAGACTCAAAGAGGATACATGACAGGGATTCATGATTTTTGGATTCCATCAAGTTTCTGTGGGAGTGCTAAGGGGAATGGAAGCACTCTCTGTGACGTAAGGTCATGAGCACATGCCACATAGATGCTTTACTTTTTTGCCTGAGTGACAGTTAATGTGGCCTGTCAGGCTTAGAGATACACAGCTCACTGTTCAACTATGGTGGTTAAGAACGCTTGCTCTTGCAGGGAACCCAAGCTGTTCCCAACACCCAGGACATCTCACAACTGTCTATAACTCCAGTTCCAGATCCAGCGCCCCTTCTGGCCTCCTTGGGCATCAGGCAGTCACTTAGCACACACACATACATATAGGCACAAACACTCACACACAGTCAAAAATCTAAAATCCCAACAAATCTGCCACAGGCAGTTTCATTGCACATAGACATGGTTGTGGGCAGTGAAAATGGCTGTAGGAACCAGCCACTCCTGACCAGTGTGAACGGGGCTGTGTGGGGCTGTGCATCCCTTCTCCGTGGCTCCTCAAGGCAGGGAGGGCGCTACTGTCTCTTTCGGGGTTCCTGTTTCAGTTGTGAATGATGGCTAGTTATTTCTGGGCTCACAAGCAGCTCTAAAACCAAGATTATATACTTTTCTTCCTACGAAGTCCTGAAAGTAGGGTATTAATTTTTGTTTGGCTTTGGTGGTAGCTAGTTCCCGTTCCCTCCCTCCTTCCCTCTCTTCAGCTGTGTTCTGACTGTCCTGGAACTCACTTTGGTGAACAAGCTGGCCTTGAACTCATGATCCACTCCTTGTCTCGGGTTCAAAGGCAGGCGCCTCTGTGTTTGGTGGTAGTAGATTTCTTAGGGATGAAAGACATTTGTTAACTACTACTTGAAAAAGAAAATTTGGGAGTTAGTCAGAGCAGGGCATATGGTATGTCCCAGGCCAGTGTGGGCTGTCTCTGGAACTTGTAAACATAACACACCCTGAACCTACTTCCTTGAGAGAACTGGTAGAAGCTTGATTTCTTTCGTATCAAACGGTTATAGAGTCTCTTCTGTGTGGAGACTGTTCTTTATGGAATTATAGAAATTAGTAAACTCGACAGCATTGGCCCTTATCCTATGTAGGGTGCTTGCTTCATGCTGAGGAACAATGTTGATTGCTAGAATGAAAAGGTATGTGTCAGAATCTCCAGCAACCTCCCCACCCCATTCTTCATTGAAATAGTCCATGGATTCTAGAATGAAATACATACATATCTTCTATCATCAGGTGTAAAATCCTTCTTGTACTGGGCTTGATCATAGACTATAATCCCAGCACCTGGGAACTAGAGGCAATGACAGCTGCAAGTTCAGGACCAGCCAGGACAGTCCTTTGTGCCGTGACAGTCACCCTGGCCCACGCCTACAATGGTGAAGGGTGTCTGGTTGGCATGGGGGAGTTGAACTTATTTGTGAGAATTGCTTCTGGTGTTAAAAGCCTCTGGGCACTGCAAAAGGAGACTAGGGCTAGCCACTCTATCTTACAGTTTTCCTTTGGAACGTTGACCTGTCAGTGCTGAGGAAGCCCCCAAAGTCTATAACAATGTAAAATCAGGTTTTTCCCAAGCTCAACACCAAGCTGTTTTTTAGTGGTTCTCTCTGATTCTAGGAGGAGAAACTGTTCTGTTGTGGGAAGTACTGCCTTCAAACTGGTACAGAACCGGTTTGGCCCCACCCTGTGCCTCCACCACCCACTGGGGAGCTACTGATTGCCTGGAAGGAAGAAAACCCAGAATGCAAAGTAGCCACGACTAAACAGAATAATTTTTGAGAGAGGAAGAGATTTGGAGGGGAGGATGTGTGCCAGTCCTTGACCCTTGGCTGGCCCCCCACCGTACCCTATGGTACCTTTTCACACAGTGCCTGTGACAGAGGAGACACACACAGGTCTTCAGGGGTTACTTTCTAGTTCAGCGAGCTTCCTGACTCACTGTCTAGTTCTTTCCCAGATGAAGACTGCAAGAGCCATGAGTCATTCTTTCTTAAAGTCAGCTGGCTTTGTGGGGATGTTGTTTGACAGAATGAATGGAAATGATCTCTTCAGAGCTCTGGGTGGTTCTACGGCTTAGGATGAGCTGTTGCATTGCTGGATGGACCTGGCTCATGAGAATGAGATTCGTGAATGCTGTTCAACAGTTGTTAAAATCGAGCACGTTCGGGAGTGAGGGGGGAACAGTCTCCATCATGGATGCGAGGTGACAGGACATCATTTCTCTGTCTTATTCCAGCTGATGTGGCACGAAAAGCTGTAGTTTAGCTCTGAAGTTTTGTATAACTCAACTGCCTTTACATATAAATCTTTTTTTTTTTTTCGGTTTTTAGGCGTCTCAAATTCTCCATTTGTTTTGCAGGACTCACAAATAGGTGCATTTCAATTGAGAACGTGAGATGTCTTGGAAATACAGTTTGTGCCCCTAGGAAGTGGCATTTGCTGGTCCAGCCCCATGACTGCCTAAGCTGGAGTAGAATTTCTCTGCAGGTGCAGGTGCCGCTCTCTGGCCGAAGAGCTTCAGTGCTCAGCTGGGTTTACGTGAAGATTAGCTTTCTTTAGTCCTGAGTGCTGACTTCTGGGTGTCAACAGAGAGTGTGGAGGCTCCTTCCCGGGTGCACTTTCCTCTCCTATCTCTGAGAGTTAAAGCTTAACCCAATGGCTTAGCTGGTGGACACGGGACCCCGAAAGCCTCCGTCTCCACTAAAAGTCTCTTTTCTTGT